CTTTCAGCCTAGGGGGACCCTGAGCAGAAAGGCCAGATATGCTTCTGACCTACTGAAGCCGTGAGATTATAAACGGCTGTTGCTTTAAGCTGCTAGCTTTGTGGTAATGTATTACGTGGCAATTGGAAATTAACATCATAATCTCAGTTTGAACCAAATTGCTAATCAAGTAGGTCAAAAACAGCTGAATATAGGCAACTGCATATGGTTCAGCCTAATACAGATGTAAAGCGCCTAGCATGTAGTGAGCACTCAATAAAGCCCACTGTTTCCATTCCCCCGGTTCAACTAAGGAGGGCCGTGGAATATTCAGTGGCTGGATGGGCCTTTTTTTTCCTAGCTCTGGCTTTGACAGCTGTCACGCAGTGCCCATGCTCTTTCTTCCCCAAAGCCACCCTCCCCAAGCCTGTCAGAAGAAAGCTTTCAGAGCCCATTCACACCCCCTTCTGAGAGGCCCAGGGCACAGCTCCTGAGCTAGGCTGCCTCTCAGGCCCCAGGGCAGCAAACCGCCAACCTGAACAGACAGCTGAAAATATCTTGGGGGCAGAGATGACAGCTGCCCACCAGCCCCGCCCACGGGCAGGGACAGGGCAGCTGCTTGAGGGATCCCAGCAGGGCCCAGCAACTGCCCACCTCTGGACCCTCCCCTCCTCGACCTCCCGATGGGTCTCAGGAGCCCCACCATGTGAAACTATGCACCCCTTCTTCCAGCAGTACCCCGTGGAAGTGCAAAGGTTTCCTGTTACATAAAAAATGCAAATCACTCTTTCTAAGCCACACTCTGCTGGTCCAGATCCCTACATAGAGAGACCTGAAAAACAGTGAGGACTTTGGGGAATGGGACACTGGATAGCTTGACTTCTGACTGGGTCTGGCGGGGAGGCTAAGAGTCAGGAGAGGTCTGGAACAGAGGGCCAGAGGGAGGAGAAGCTTGAGGCTCACATTTTCTACAATGTCTGCTGGTATGTGGTTCCACAAACCGTCTATCCTACTCATTCCCAAAAAACCCCTCAGAAAATCTAAATGTGCACAATATGTCAAATATATCTCAATAAAGCTGGGGGGAGGGGCAAATAAGAATCTCTCGATGGATCAGATCTCCAGGACCCACACAAACCTTGGGACCCAGCTAGAAAGACAGATTTTTTTTTTTTTAATTTACTTTCAGGTGTCAAATAATAGGCAAATTACCACTGGTGGATGAATCCACTTCACCCTCATAGCTGTGATAAGAATTAGTGCGCATCTGCCTTCTGCTCGGGTCATGATCTCAGGTCCTGGGATCGAGCCCCGCATCGGGCTCTCTGCTCGGCAGGGAGCCTGCTTCCCCCCCCCCCCACCCCCGCCTTTCTGCCCGCTTGTGATCTCTCTCTCTCTCTCTCTCTCTCTCTCTCTGTTAAATAAATAAATAATCTTAAAAAAAAGAAAAGAATTAGTGCGCAGCTCTTATAGATGAGGAAACTGAAACACAGATGAAGTCATTTATGCAATGTCTCAAGGACAGGGCTGGGATTTGAACCCAGGTAGACAGACCCCACAGCCCACGTTCCTAACCATTGAGCTAACCACCAGAAGCTTTACAATATTTGACCCTGAATCTACCAAAGTTGCTAACAACCACTGTTTGGGAGTGGACTACATAGATCTTCAGCCCAAGAAATACTCTACCCAAAGCAGGGACACAAATATGTCCCATCCCACAGTGTCACATGCTTTTAGCAGAGGTTTGGCTGTGCTGGGGCTCAGACGTGCCCCTCTACCAGGCAGCTGGGCTCAGCTGGGAGTGCTGTAGGCTAGGCATGGCAGGGGGTTGGGTCTTCTCCGAGGCAAGTGCAGAGATAGCCTCCTGGGGCTGCAGGGGGTGGCAGGGACCTTCCTAAGAAGCAGAGCACAGCAGGATGGTAACCGGCTCCCAGAAATGCTAGTTTCCAGTTACCTGAAATGTTGGGCCTCCTCAACCGCAGCTGCCCATTCTAGAGCCCCCTGGAGTTGTCACCCCACCAACCCCTCTGCCTGCCTTACTATTTTTTTTTAAGATTTTATTTATTTATTTGACAGACAGAGATCACAAGCAGGCAGAGAGGCAGGCAGAGAGAGAGGAAGGGAAGCAGGCTCCCCACTGAGCAAAGAGCCCGATTCGGGGCTCGATCCCAGGACCCTGAGATCATGACCTGAGCCAAAGGCAGCGGCTTTAACCCACTGAACCACCCAGGCGCCCCTGCCTTACTATTTCCTGCCCAACCTGCATGTGTCACTTGGATGCCCAGGGCAGGGCACCCCTTAGCCTCCTCTCCTGGGACCCTGTCAGGATCATGGGATACAGTGGAGGAAGACTTATGACCATGGAGTGTAGAATATGCTGAAGAAAGCCATTCTGCGCAGCCCTCTCTCCTCCCCATGCTCCGCTTCGCCCCCTCCCCCTTTTCCTTCTCTCTCTTTCTCTCTCTTATTCTCTCTCTCTTCTAGAACCCAGGTAGTTGGGCCTTATTGAGGCAAAGAGATGGATTTACAAACTCAAGCTCATGCAAACTGTTTTCTTGTCTCCCCTCTATTCCAGGTGACTCCTGCCTCCACATTCTTCCTCCCAGAACCCACTTCCCACCCCTGTGGCTTTCAGGAGAACCCCCCAGGCAGGCCCTCCTCAGGCTGATGGGTCACGTCTCTTGAGAGGGAAGAGATCCCGGGCTTGATCCCAAACCACTTTCCCCAGGCACTCGCAGGCATCCATAGGTACTTCTTGAGCAAAAGGTTTGAGTCCTTTGGACACCTCCACTTTCAGAGAGCAAACAGGAGGGACCAAGCACTACTGCCTTACAGGAATCATCGTAACCACTTACTGAGCACCTACCACATGCCAAGCTAGTGCAAAGCAGTGTGCTGTGTGCTTCTTGACCCTCGATTCCTGGAAGTTGATTCCTCCAAAAGTATTTGTTGAGAATACATGCCAACCACTCTTCTAAGCACGGGAGCTCCCTCAGCAAGTAAGATTTCTCAAATGCAGGTTCATTGTGTGCCCTTGTCAAATGGGGGCGATGGAGACTAAAAGTTTGTTGCAAAGGGTAAAGCAGCATCCATTTCAAGGTGTCGGACCCCGAAGCCACTGCACCATGCACTCTCCGCCTTGTCTCCTCTCCACTACAGTGGAGGGTTTGTGGGTCAGAGCCAGGGTAGGGATCCCTGCCTCAAATGCTTATTTTGTACAGTTGTTTTGGGGGAGGAGGGATGAAGTCTATACCACCTTCAGAGGCTGAGCACTCGGTCTGTGAGTAACACCCCTGACCCCCGGCTGAGGACTCAGGACCCAGAGAACACAGAAGACTATGTGATTCGGGCTGGGTGTCTCATGGGTGAGAAAGATGGCTGGAAGTGTGGGGCATGAGGCTAGGGTTTTCAGGATGGGGGGGACATGAACTGGTGGAGATGAAGGGGGGGGGTGAAATCAGGATGGGGAATCAGCTGCTCAGAGCTCTGTGGTGACAAGGATCCAGAGGACAGCTCTGACAGGAGCCTGACAAGCTAGGAGGGAGCATCGGATGTGTGCTTCACAGGGGAGGGAAGGCAGGCCCTGGCAACTGTTGATGGCTGAGGAGGTGAGATGAGAGCTAAGGGGCCATCAGGAATCTCCCAGCAGCACAATGGCAAGATGCAAATGGTGTCGGGTGATAATTCTGATAGGGATGTGCAGGACCACGGCGGAGACATGCGGGAGCTATCACAGAAGACCCAGGAAGGGCCCAGCATGGGTGGGGGTCGGGGGGCTGTGGTCCACCTCACCAGCCCTCACTCCCACTCACCCTCAAATCCCCTCAGTCCCTCCCTTTCTCAGACATCAGCCCAGTACCTCTGGCTCGGTTTACGCCCCCCCCCAACACACACACACACACACACACACACACACACACACACACACACACAGCAGTGCCACAACTTTGGAAAAGAGGGTTGGGAGGCTGTGAGGGTGAGTGGAGGGTCTGACCAGAGAGGGACCTGGGCAAAAATGAGGTGGGCGATTTGGAACAAGCATACAGCCAGGACTAGGGAAATGCTGTTGGTCACCTGAGGAGGGAGGAATGGCATCTCCAGGGGAATGTCAAGGGGGCTATGCCTGGGCCACAGTACGCCTCACAGTCCCAGCCAGGTAGTGACCATAGGCCAGCCCAAGGCCATGACTGAACTAGAGAAAAACCCCCCTTCTCCACTAGTACCCACTTACTGCTTGGGGCAACCTTCCCCTAAGATAGGAGAAACAGGGGGAGATGCCCCCAAAGTCTGTAACATAACTGAGGATTTGGGGGTGGTAGCCCACAAAAACACACCTCCCCTCCCCTACTGGACTCTCAAATTCCACACTCAGTGCTGTAATCCTTTCGCTTAAGATTTTGTACCTAAGTTATTGTTGTTGTTGTTTTTTAATGATGCCCCTTGAAGTTATTATCAGTTATCCACAGCTCAGTATGAATGAATCAATCTGATCCCTTTCCACGAGTCAGTTTTGCTGTTGGAGGTGAAGAAAAGCTTTAAATCTTGGGGTCTAGGACACTGGGTGGGCGGGGAGGAGAGGAGGGTGTTGGGGCAAACGAGCAGGGAGAAGAGAGGAGAGAACAGCACAAAAGGCAGAGGCTGGTTATGCCTGGGAAGGATGGGGCAAATCACTCACTTCTCCATTTGGGGAGGAGTTGATCAGAAATAGCCTGGGATAGCCTTTCACTACCACCTTCTCCTTCCTCTGGCGTCTGGACCCTTGTTCCTGTGTCTGTATTTCTCCTCTCCGCAGCCGCCTGGAGTCCAAACTTTCTGCGATACGACCCCAAGCCTGCCTTCCCATTCCGCCGTCACCACCCATGGCTGGGCAGGGGCTCCCGCTGGACAGGCAAGGGGGGGTCCTGGAGGCAAGGACACTCTGAAAGGGGGCGCGCGAGGGTAGAGGGTCGGCGCGGCGAGGGCCGCGGGGCTCCGGGTCCAGGGGCGGGGCAGGGGGACCCGGCCAGCGGGCGGCTCACCTGCAGGACACGGTGATCTCCACCTTGGTGGCCGGGATGCTGCCCGCCAAGGAGTCGAACTCGCTCAGCGACGCCATGTCCTCGGGCTGCTCCATCGCCCACCGCGCCCCCCACCCCCAATTAGTCAATCCCTGCGCGATTCACGCCTCCTCCAAAGCGACTGAAACCCTGGGCTCTCCCCCAACTCCGGAGCCGGTGCTGGGCGGCAACGGGAGGAGAGAGGAGCGCGAAGAGGGGGCGTGGGAAGTGAGAGAGGGAAGGGGGGGCGGAGGGAGCGGGGGCCGCGGATAGAGGAGGGGGTGCGGGTGACGCGACGAGGAGGCTGGGGGGCCGGCAGAGAGGGGCCAGGTGCCCAGGGAGCTGGGGCGCAGCGGAGAGAGGCGGAGGGGCGCGGGGAGAGGACACCGGGAGGGACGCGCGCGGAGTCGTGGGGAAGGGTATGGGGAGAGCGGCGTGCAGCTTCGGGTGGGGACCGAAGGCGTGAGGGAGAGGGAAGAGGTAAGAGGGGCGTGGGGGGCCGGATCCGGCGCGGGCGGGGGTGGCCGGACGCCGGCAGCGCGGAGCCCGGAGCGCCGAGGCTGCGCCGCCTCTCCCTGGAGCTCGGCGCGGGCGGCAGCGGGGCCGGGGACCCGGTGCGAGCGCCACCTCCTCGGCTTGGGCTCGGTCTCGGGCTTCGGGGCGCCCGGGCTGCGGGAAAATCAAATCTGCCCGAAGCCGCCGCCTCCCGCCAGCTGGGGCGGGCTGCGTGCCGGGTCCGCGAGAGCCGGAGGGGGCGCCCGCAGGGGCCGGGGCGGGGCCGCGGGCGGGGTCTGCGCACGGGTGTGAGTGTGTCTGTGTGAGCGTGAGTCTCTGTGTGTGCGTGTGTGTGCGCGTGTGTGCGCGCGTGGCGGGCGTGGGGATACGGCTCCAGATGCTGGGAGCCTGGGGGGTGGTGACATCCAGAGACGGTCCGGGCGGTGAGCGGCTCCCTCTGCGCCCACCCCCGGCACCTCAGGGGTTTCCGACCGGAAGAGAGAGGGGCGGTTTGAGAACCAGGGGGTGTCTGTCTGAGAAGGGTCAGTGCGGGGCTAGGTGGGAGCGATGTGCGCAAAAGATACATCACCCCCCAAGAGGTTTGGGGGTGCTCTTTGCTGAGGGTGCGCCCAACCGAGCGTGGGGGTGGCAGGTGTCAGCCTATAAAAAGAATCACATCTCTTCTGGAGGGGTGTGGGGACCACCCCAATGGCCCGAGGGGCCTCCTCGGTTTCCCGGGGAGGGCCGTTAGGCCTAGGCAGGGTCTGTGCACGGGCGCTCCTCCATACTCCTCTGGCTCCCGCGGAGCCTGGCCACCCGGAGCCAGCCACATAAGCCACACGTCAGCTCCCTCCCCATCCCCGGCCAGTCGTGACCACACAGCTGAGCCAGCCCCTGGGGTCTAGAAGCTTCCTCCACCAGACTGAGAGGGTGGCCGGATTAACCTGGGCTCCTATCCAACCAGCACCGAGTAGGCGCCTGCTGTGTGCCGGGCTCTGATCCCTCCCCTGGGAGCAAGGGGACAGTAGAGGCACCTCTCAGGTACCCCCAACTCCCAACCAAGTCCTTCATGGCCTCAAGGCGGGACAGGCCCCACCCTGCCTCAGCAAGGCCCTTCCAGACCCGGGGGTCGGGGGTCGCGGTGCCGTGGCGTCTCCCCGGGGGCTGCACGCATAAACTCGTCTCCAGAAAATCCCCCGCAGCCCCTCCTCAGTCCCCCTGCAAGCTTTGCTGAGATGGAGCACCTTTTACCAACCCCCCCTGCCCTGCGGCCGAGAGCCTGTGGCTGGACCCGGAAAAGCCACGCCCTCTGGTCCATGCCTTCAGCCGCTGGCTGAAGTCAATTCTTAGAACATGAGAAACAGCCAGAGTCAAAGATGAATATAAAAGCATATTCCTTAGCCTAGGTTAAGTGTTTCCCGTTTACCCACCGCTTGGGTAGAACTGGACTCCTTCTGCCACCCGGGACTGACACCAAGGGGGCAGAGGGGCAGCCCTGGGTCCAAAGGCCCCACTCTTGGTTTGAGCCTGTGGCCCTATCTCCCCAGAGATTAATTCCCGCCTCCTTTCCTGAGAGATGCAATTCTGGGCTTGGAATTTCTATGCCCTCCACCCTCCCACCACCCACACCCTCTCCTAGACGATTTTCCAGACATACTTGTGGAATATGTTATCTGTTCATTCCAGCCGTACTTACTGAAGACCTACTGTGTGCCTGGCCCACTGCCAGGGCCACTTGGGAAACTTCTTGATAACCACCATTCAATTTTCAAAGAGCCTACCCTTCCTAGATTCCATGCTTAATTTTGTTTTTTTAAGATATTATTCCCATACCATACAATTCACCATTTTAAAGTATACAGTTCAGTGGTTTTAGTATATCTCACAATGACCATATATGACTTTAAATTCTCAAAAAATAATTACAGGTGTGAGGCATTACTATCTGTATTTAATAAATAAGAAAGCTAGTGGCCAGGGAGGCTAAGGAACTTGCCCATGAACCTCCAGCTGGGAACTGGTAGAGTGAGAATTTGAACCCTGGTCGTTGGAACCCAAGTTTGACTGCCTCTTGGGATGGGGCCAGCTGATGGTCTTAAAAACCGTCTACGAAATCAGGGACCTACTCCCAACCATAGGGAGCCACTAAAGGTTGTCCATTAGGTGAGTAGTGAGACTGAAGTTCTATCATGTTACCTTGCAATGTGACAGCACCAGGGAGAGCAGCCCCAGGGGCTCTTTCTCAAAGGATTCTCTACTTGTCTGTTTCTCTCCATTCCCTCTCAGTCATTGCATTTCCACTGCTGGGTTTTGGCAAAACATTGTTTCGGGTACCTGTTCTGTGCCAGGGGGTGTCCTAGGCTCCAAGAATATAGAGGCAAGAAAGACTTTGTCCCTAAAGAGTCTGCAGGCTAGTAGGGGTCCCAGGACTTGCAGACATTTAAGCCACAATACATCATGAGGGGTGTTGTTGAAGGAGTTATAAAGGCCCTGGGAATGGAAAAGAGTGGCCAACAGTTCTGCCTCAGGAGTGGGAACAAGGGACGGTCAGGGGAAACTGCAAAAAGAGGTGGTCTGGGGATTCCCCAGGGGGCTCAGTCAGTTAAGCATCTGACTCTTTTTTTGTTTTTTAAAGATTTTATTTATTTATTTGACAGAGACACAGAGAGACACCCAGAGAGAGAGGGAACACAAGCAGGGGGAGTAAAAGAGGGAGAAGCAGGCTTCCGGCCGAGCAGGGAGCATGATGCGGGGCTCGATCCTAGGACCCTGAGATCATGATCTGAGCCAAAGGCAGATGCTTAATAACTGAGCCAGCCAGGGACCCCAGCCTCTGACTCTTGATTTCAGCTTGGGTCATGATCTCAGGGTCGTGAGACTGAGCCCTGAGTCAGACTCCGTCCTGGCCAGGGAGCCTGCTTAAGATTCTTTGCCTCTCACTCTGCACCCCTTCCCTCTGTAAGCAAGCGCTCTCTCTCTAATAAAGGTGATCTTGAGTAGGTCATGGAAGGTGAAGTATGTTTGGTTCCCCCAGAAGCAAACCCTGAGAGAAAGACTGAAGTGTGAGTGGTGTTTTTGGGAAAAGAAGGAAACACCTGGGGGGAGAGTACAGAGGTGAGACTACAGGTAAGCAGGCAATATGGGTGGTTTACCAAGCCGGTGATCCCTGGGCGCCTAGGGCTCATCCCCACTGAGGAGCTCTGGCAGACTAGGTAGAACATGCCTCAAACTTAGTCCGCCAGAGGGGTGACAGATCAGGGGTGTTTATGCCCCAATTTTTTGGTCAGTCGTTGGCTCAGTGGCTGACGATTGCTGTTTTATGGCAGTGTGGCTGGAGGACAGGGTAAAGGGGGAGGTGGTAGAACGCAAGGCCAGGGGTGAGGGGCCACGATGCAAGGCCTCCTCCAGGCGCAGGAGCTTTTCTGAAGGGGACACCGAAGAACGGCTGGTGTCTGGAAGACCTCCCCACCCAGCTACAGGGCCAACAGAGTGAACCCCAGAACGCAAAGCTTGCTGATCAGGCCCAAGGCCAAATGCTCACACTCCTTGCTCAGATGAATCGCTGATGGTTCAAAAGCAGCCAGAGGCATGCCATCGGATGGGTCATTTCTTCTTTGAGGCATCAGCTAATGCCAAGTTGCTGAGGTCACCTGTCATGCTCAGGCAAGCTGGCCGCCAGGCCAGCAAGTGCTGCAGACGTGTTGTCTGGGCCCGGCAGCCAGATTAGAACTGACCATGGCCCTGCTCCGCCCACCCCCTCCACCCCCACCCCGGCCACATAACCAGTGCTCGTCCCTCTGATTAAGAACTATGAGCACGGAATGGGCCATGCCCAGAAGATCTGGAATAATCAGCATCAGCGCTTTGCCTTTGCCATCCAAAACTGCAAACATGCTCTCGTCTGACCTAATCCGCGGTGTTAATGATGGCAGAGCAATTTTGAGAGGCAACTCGCAGCATTGATAAGAAGAGGAAAAGCACCACGGGGTTTAGGAGGCAGAGAGCCTCAGAGAGGAGCCAGCTGCTGCCCACCCTTCTCAAGACACTTCGTGTGAATGCTGCCCTCAGATCTGCCCTGGGTCAGACTCGTGATGGTAGGCGGAAAGGGACACCGAAGAGCAGAAGAAGGGCTCTGCGTGGGACAGGGCAGTGAGGGCTGTCCATCCTGCAACTTAGAGCAAACTAGAAAGATGTGTTCTTTACTCTGGGTAAATGAAACCCTGAGCTAAACAGGGCACATGGCTCATTGAGCAGAGTGTGGGCGGGCTTTGAGCCTCCACTTACTCCCTTGGCTGTGTGTCCTTGTGCAGTGAATACCCCCCACTACTGTACATGGCAGCCCTGGGGAGAAGAGGAAAGATAGAGGGCATGACAGAAACCTGAAACCACCATGGCAGTAAGGAGGTGGGAGAGATGGTAGTGTCTGATTCCATCCATTAATAGAAATGCTAGAAGGGGCTTGGTTGGAGACCATCGAGTTAAACCCCTTCTTTAACTAAGAAGCTTAGAGAGGGAGAATGATGGACTCAAGGTCACCTGAACTCTTCCCCTGACAAGAAATGCCACCAAAAACAGCAAGGTC